TTAGCAAGTGTTAATTGAATATAAGCACAATAAGCTGTGTGTGGATATATATGCATATATAGATGTATGTATAGATAAATATACAAATATAGATATATACATAGATATGTAGATATATGCATGCATATACATATATAGTAGGTGTATATCAGTAAACACACACATACACACACACACACGCACACACACATTCTTTTGATGACAGGACCTCTCTATCCTTTTCAGGCTAATCTCAAACTTCAAATTCTCAAGCCTCACTCTTCAAGTGGTATTCCAGGTGGTACTTTATTTCTTTTTAAGTAACTTTTCCTCCCAGTCAGGACATGTATTTATTTACCTGTTACTGAGTCCGGCTTGTAATATTGAAATGTACCTAAGGTAACCCATTTAGTCAGTTTCTGCTCATTTCATAACTATTTTAGTCCCAGTTTCCATCTGGCTTCTTGAACCAATCCAAGTTTTTTAAAGTACCAATACTTTTTAACGGAAATATTTTAGGTAATATACAACAAGCATAACAATTTTGATTAAAAAATGTAGAGTAATTTGCTATACATTCAAGGTTTTAATTGTAAAGCCCTATTAATTAGAATATAATAAATTGATGAACGGGCTATAAAAAATTCCACTATATGTGTATATATACATGTGTACACACATATTAATTTAAACCAATTGATTTTGTGTGGTGGTTGAAAAGAACATGTTCTTTGAGATATAGTGAGGTACCACTGAATATTCATAGAGCCTTTGTGTTGTCCAGCCTATTGATTTCTTCAAGAGTTCTTGTCAGCATCAGAAATGCTGTGGAAATGTCATACCCCACTATCTTACCTCTCAGCCCACCTCTAAGAAACAAGATGAGAAAGCAGTACACAATGATTTGCTCTCCTTTTGATTTTCTTTAAAGTAAAAGTAGAATAAAATAAAGTGGAAGTTTTGTTGATTGTTATATTAAATCAGCCCCAAATTGCATGTGTTTTAACCTGCAATCTGGTTCTGCAGATACGAGCTTTTGAATATTTTGAATAGAATTTGAATTAAGCGATGACTGAAGAGTTTTCATTCACACTTCATATATAAGTGGTCATTAGTGATTATAATTCCAACAGCCCGTTCTATGAAGTTTGTAACACTGAAATAGAAACCAAAGTTTCCACAATTTATAATGTGCAGTATAGTCAGTCTACCAAATTGAAATTGGAAAAGCTTTGCTGAGAAGAGTTAAAATCATTGTACAATGTCCTGTAGTTAATGAAAATAATTGTACAAATTCCTGTAGTTAATGAAAATAAATGAAATAATTAGAAACAGATCTGACTGCTTAAAAAATGCATAGCTAATATACCATAGCTGTAAAGTAATTGCTGTTAGTGTGCACTTTTCTTCAAAATACGGATGTTCCTTGATTCAGCCTTATCTGCTATTTCAATCAGTATTGCTAGGCTATTCAACTGAGTATCCTGATCCTTTTGATATGTTAAAGACATTTTGATGAAGATTGGTAAAACTCATTTAGAGTGATAATTGGATTGTCATCATAGGCATAGTACAGTTATTTGCTAATCCTTATTAGGTGTGAATTGTTTGAACATTAATCACATAGCACGTGCATGTTTCATTTGAATTAATCTGTTGGTCCTATTACCCTTTTTATTGAAAGAGAAAATTCTTGAGGCACATTAGTAGAAGAAATTGTTTTGGGATTTATTTAAATGGTGTCCCTAAATCAGTGCTAGATGCAGAAATTAGTCTCAGTAAACTATCTCGTGATCCAGATGGTTTTCTTTCAAAGCTCTGAAGAGAAAATTATAATTGTGAGTTTTAGAAATTTTAAAAAAATCCTTAATTTGTGACTAATTAAAAATCTTGGAAGCATATTATTTAGAGAAACACTTTTTCTAAGAGAAAGTTTGGGTATAATTGTTGGAATGTTAGAATTGTGTTTGTATACACTGTGTGATTTCATTGCTTTTATTATACGTTCATGTCACTTGACAGAATTCACTGTTAGTGCAAAAGATGTAGACATGACAGAAAGTGAAGGCTGTGAATGAATAGGCCTTCAAGGGAGCTGATCTTTCCTTATCTGATAAGTAGCTTTCTATTCTTTCTGTTCATCCCTCTCTCTCTCTCTGTCTTCCTCTTTTCCTTTTCCTTTTTCTTGCAGACCATTGCATAACAAAAGCTTTTACTTTGAGTAGTGGATTTGAAAACAATACCGTTGTAAAGACAGTTTTCAAGCCAACTTACTTCCTGATATTTTCTGTTGGTGATTTGTTTTTTGTGTTGTGCTGTTTTGTTTTCTGTTTTTACTGTGAATGCAAGAGAAAGTAGAGAGTAGCTCTTCAACTTTCCAAAATAAGCTTTTGAGTGAGAAGATTTAGGTTGTAGTCTGTTTTGTTATCACTGAGTCCTTAAAATAGTCTTTAAATGTGATCTCCTAATTTTAAATGTGAAAATCAATAGATACGCAGAGATGCGTAGGTTATTAGCAATCTTATCACAATCCAGGCAAATTTTCATTTCATATCTATAAGATTTTTATATTTATAATTAAACTATTTAATGACCTTTTCATCCTACCTGAGCAGAATTAACTTTCAAAAATTTCTCCATAGATATTCATGCAAGGCTAGATTCTGTTTCTGTTCTCATGTTCTGTGTCACCTTATATTGATATCGATTTGTACTCTGCTACAGACTAAACTAAAACAATAGTTTTTTCCTTCTGAAGTAAGTTGTTATTACAAGATAAATCTGTATCTCTATCTCTATCTCTCTCTATGTATAGAGAGAGACAGAGAGGCTGAGAGACAGAGAGGCAGAGAGAGACAGAGACAAGGAGACAGTGAGAGAGACAGAGATTGAAATAGGTACTCTTTACCAAGAAAATACCTGCATTTTGTGAGAGGATTTTATTAGTCTCAACATAATATGCCTCTGGCTTTTGCGGTAGATTATTGGCTTTAAAAATGTCACTAGACTTGAATAGAAGTTAATTAGCGGTACGACGTGTCTAGCAGGCATGCTAATTTTCTTTAAGTAATAACCAGCTGGTCTTTTGCCACAGGAAAGAACCACCTGAATGCCTGCAGTAGTCCTGGGATAGGCTGAGTATCTAAAATTCAGTACTATGGCTTTCTGTAAAAATTCTAAGTTAAACAAATTGCTTATCTCTTTTTGAACACAGATGATAATCAGTGCATTTTATGACTATTTTATTTTAGATAGCCAAGATAGAGGTATAAAACTTAGCTACAGTTTTGTTTTCAACCAAATTTTTTATAATCCATATTTTTCTTTCTTTTTTTTTTTTTTTTTGTCGGTCGTGGGGCTTGAACTCTGGGCCTGGGCACTGTCCCTCAGCTCTTCAGCTCAAGGCGAGCACTCTACCACTTGAGCTACAGCGCCACTTCCGGTTTTCTGGTGGTTTATTGGAGATAGGAGTCTCAGTCTCTCCTGCCCGGGCTGGCTTTGAACCGCAATCCTCAGATCTCAGCCTCCTGAGTAGCTAGGATTACAGGCGTGAGCCACCAGCGCCCGACACTCCATATTTTTCTTGTATACGTAGCTCCTAGTCTTTTAAGTTGGTAAAATTTCTTAGGGTTGTTCAATACATATCTTTTACTTTATAACATTCATATATATCATGTGTTTATATCCCACACACATACATATGCACACATATAAAAGCTGATTTAGCCTCTCTTTTCTCTGGAGAAATGGATTATTGTTTGTGGCCATTGTTCTATTTCCATGAGAAAACTTAACTGTGGTGATGATTTTCCTCTGCTTGTTCAGCATGGATTATATTTAAACAGGACATGCAATAGTTGTGTGCACTCTTCCTAGAGTCGTAAAGCACTTGGTAGAGGTACCAGAGGCTATTTGAAAGCTGCGCAATATAATGTCCACAGTGGCTTTTGTTTGCCATGGAAGTATCCACTTTCTGGGTGTTCTCAGGAAAGGATTTATTATGCTTCTCCAGGATATAAAATCATCAGAGTGCTAATATTTTTAAACAACTTGAACAGAAGAAGCATATCTGGTATCTCATTTAAATTTATGTGAAGCTTGTTATTTGCACCACATTAGAGTTTAATTCTTCTTATACTATCCTATGAAAAATAAATTCAGAATTTGGTTAAAATATGTGTTCTTGTTTACTTCCTCATTCTCCCTTTTCAATTTTGTAACTACTTGAGAATGCTAAAGCTAAGTTGAAGCAGTCATTTTCCTCACACATAGTCCCTGCAAAAGCCACTCACAATGTTCTCAGCCAAGAGGAAGTCATCGTGTTCTGTGGAGTTTTTGCACAATTTCAAAGGTGGCGACTGTTCTTAGAATGAGCTTATTAATATCTCAAATGACAGTTATTTTCTACTTAAGAAATATAAACTAGAGTGAGTGGTATTTACTAAAAGAAAATTCTAACAAAACTAATACATTTTCTTGCTTAACCTTTTTTCCCCTAACAAACAAAAATATTACTGTCATCAGTAAAAGGGTTCGGAGAGAACACTACTGAAGATGACAGCAGTGGTATTAGTTCAATGATATTTAAGAGTAGTCTGTTATGTGCTACTAATTAGTAAATGCTTGAAGCTGGGCTCAGGTGGTTCGTGCCTATAATTGTAGCTACTCAGGACACTGAGATGATGAAGGTTTGAAGCTATTCTGGACAGACAAATCCAAGGGATTCTTAATTCTAGTCAAGGAACACAAATCTAGAATTGAAGGTATGACTCAAGTATCAACTTTGTACAGAAAAGGCTACACAAAAATTACTAACACCAAAAACTGAAAAAAAAAAACAGTAAAAACATGTTTACTATTTTATTAGTATTACTAAATGATTTTTATTTATGAATCATAAAAATGAAATCTCTTTGTTTTTCATCTTCTAATAATTGATAAGAAAATCCAAGAGCTTTATGGAAAATTTCACATTCCTGGGATCATTCAATTCTAACTGAGATTTACTGTTGATTTTTCAGCGCCTGGCTTTGGAGGCTGAGAAGGTTCAAGCAGCTCACCAATGGAGGGAAGATTTTGCAGTAAGAACCTTTTACTACTTGATTTAAGCAGATTGGTAGCTAAGTTTGGAAAGTTATGATCACAATAACATACCTTTTGAATGATGGAATTTGCTGGTGCTATGGAAAACAAAATACAGCCCGTGTTTTGTATGTTCTGTTTTTTGTTTTTGTTTATGCTTCATAAAACCAGGGCCAATTAAATTAGTTGAAATGTTTTATATACACAAGAAAAATGTCCTCCTTAAGATAGTCTCATGTGCAAACATATTTATAAAATACATTTAAAGAACATCAGATTGCAATAGGAATAGTTTAATAATATGAACACACTAGGTTACATTTAAGTTTCTTGTGTTTGGAAAAGCAGGATAAAACCATGAATCACCTTGATGGTGGACAGTTTATTGAAAGTGGGGTTGAATGTACCCAACCTCTCAAGGTTTAATTTGCTTCATTTGACTGTATATATTCTGCTCTGGCCAGCAGACTTAGCAATGACAGCGTTATACAAGTTTCCTTTGATAATCTATGTGTTCCAAGAGGTACTGGCTTAAATATATTCACAACATAAATTCATGTGGGACAATTTTTTTTTAAATTTTCTGTTCTCCTCCTTGCAGCCAAAAGCACAGTGAAAAAGTGTATCCTTAATTGCTGAAATAGTTTTGTTACATAGTTGGATTATTTAATTAGGATGGAAATGAGTTTCTAATCACTAAAACATTCCAGAAAACACATTTTGGAGATGCAACAATGCCCAAAGTTCATTATTAAAACAATCAGAAAGTGGGTGACAGCTTGATTCTACTTTTCAGTATCTTATACAACCCAGTGTTAAATTTCAATTCGGAATCATGGGATTCAATAGAACACCAAACTGAGGTTTAGGAATTAACACTTTTACTTTGTGATTGATAGATTATATTTCATACCAAAGTAAAATATAAAACCTTTGATTAACATTCCTTTACACTAGTTAACTAACACTCTGTGCTTGATGCATGTGTATTAGTTTACTAACTACTGTATTTGGCCACTATCATTTTGTTTGATTTTCTCAGTAAATTGGTCACATTACATGAGTATTGGTGTCAGAAAAGTTCTGGCTTTGTCCAAATTGCTTGTCATTGATAGGTTAGTGCCAAATTGCCATCCATGTTGTATAAAAATTAGTGATCAAGTTAAAAAAATTACAAAGTCCTTGCATATTGAGGACAAATTGTTGATTCATTCAATGAAAGGAAATTGGTTGCTATTGCATAGATAAAAGGAAAATAAACTTGAAGAAACTTCATTTCTCAAACAGACAAAAAGCAGCAAAAATAATATATCCAAATAAATATCCTTTGATTTACTCATTGATTGGGAAATGTTTTTCTTTCCCTTTCATATGAAAATGTCATGATAAAAGAAATAGAAAATATAATAGAAAGCTAGATCCACTCAGCTGGCTACTAGTATTGGTACAATGCAACTTTTACTTGTTTAGTTTGGATCTTCCTATATTCATTACTAGAATTCACAGAATCATAAAGGTAACATCTTATGTAACATTAAGATCAGCCTCTGTGGTATATATATATAAGGTGTACACTTTTTGTTTTTTTAAAAGTCTTTGTTTTTACAAATATCATTTCATATTTCAAATAGTCATCAGAAAAGAGTAACTTGGAAATAGATTAGTTCTAGATTTTCATATAATTGATATTTTATATAGTTACTTATTGCTTTCTAAGTATAGTTTCCTATGCTTAGGAAACTATAATACTGTAATTTTTTTTAATACAGGACTAAGTAGCACATAAATCATACCTTTAGAAAGAGCTTTTCTGTCTTTACAGAAGTGCTAGGTGACAACCAGTTAGTGCATGGTAGTTATTACATATTTTATTAATGCTAAACCCTTATCAATTTTAAAGCCCTCAACATTTTATTGCACATGTATTTCCAAAAGAAGCTAACGAAATTATGATACTTTAGGGTATATTCTTATTTGTGAGATATTAAAATCTGATAACAATTTATCTTGAAATGTAACCCTTACTTCAGAACGGTGCAAGTAAGTAGCATCACTGTTAAGCGAGGCCCAGGATGACATAGTGCCAACAGCAATCTGACATGGTTAAACAGAAAAGAAAATATTTTACCCAGTAAATGTTAGGTGTTCTTAGCAAAGTCATCACCCTGTGAGAGAATCATTAAACAAGTTTTGTCTTTCCGTGCCCCTGGGTTTATCAGACAGTTTAGGGAGAATACTTTGAACAAATCGACCATTCCAGGGAAATGCTTCAGCATTCTTTAAAGCCTTGTCAGTTCAATTCTCTGGCCTAGTTTCTTGAAGGAATATGAATGTGGTTCACGTGGAATTCATATATTTGCTGCAGAGTACATATCCTTGCAGTTTGTACACTGAGTACTGGGGTTTGACATGCCAGCCATACATATAATCTTTACAATAACCTCCACCCCTACTTTGAAATACTATGAAGTAATAGAACCTTGAGCTGGTGACATTGATGCTTGGAGAGCAGACCTGAGTAAAAATTGTCCCAACTTAAGACTTGAATAAGTTAAAAGAACAAAAGTAAGACAAAATTATCCATTTAAGATTTTCCTGATAAAGTCCTTATTGCTCTAGTCCATAGATATAGCTAGGCTAAAATAAATCCCTCAAGGCAAGAATATTATTCAAGTTAATGTTTGGAAAACATAAATAATCCACATTAGTTCTCCCCTTATTTTGTGAGAACATACATTTGCAAATGGCATCCGCATTTCAAAACAAACATTTGAAAATGTTTCATTTGAAGCTTAACACTAGCATATTCTGTTGGGTCCTCCATTTAAACTTTCTAGTCCTTTTAACTTTTAAGATATTTAACTGTACAAGTGCAATGGTTCTTTTATACAATCCTTTTATAACAACACTAAGATGATATAGAAGGCAGAAACAGTTTCCTAAAAGGAGCATTAACATTTCAAAAAGTATAATATTCTACTTCTTTCTTCAAGTATAAGTGGGCAAGTTTCATTAATATTACTTAGGCAAAATGTTCATTAACATTTCCCACTGTGTAATGTAGAAAAATCTCATAAACAACAAGAACAAAAGGAAAAGCCCTGATAAGCATGTAATTCATACTCTCCCTCAGTCCGTTTAATCCCCAGTGGAAAATACAACAGAATAACAAAGGGAGTACTCTCTAAGTGGATTAAGATTTATGCGGTCATGCATTTACAAGTTTAAACCAATATTTGTAAATAAGCTGTGCCTACCATCTGCCTTTCAGGTCTCCATGCAACTTATGGGTGGAAACAGTGACATTTCATGTCACATATGATGGACAAGTTATTTCATTATGGGCAAGTGGGGAAATGGGGGAAAAAAGAGCTCAGGAAACTAATTGTTCCGCATGAAATACTTGCTATTATTTCTACCAAACAGATCTTTTCCAGTTGTATTTGAAATCTCATTTGATTGCATTGCAATGGTTGGTTAACTAAAGTAATTTTGTTTTCAACTAAGCCTGCAATATTAATTGTACTTACACATGTATAAACATAAGGGGTGTCTAATTTGTATTTGTATTTTAATAACCTGAATCTTTATGTGTGGTTTATTAGTGCCAGCTTGTTGTTTTGCTGGTTCAGTACAGATGTGTAGAAATTGGTCAGTAAATAAAACATGTGAAGAGTCCTTGTTAGCTTCAGATTCAAATTAGAAAGTAAAGTTCATTTCTAGTGAAATTGAATGTTAGATTTATTTAATTCTTCAATATAGCTTTTATTTTTGATTTATTATTATTTTTTTGTTGATCATGAGGCTTGAACTCTGTGGCTGTCCCTGAGCTCTGTGGCACTGTCCCTGAGCTCTTCAGCTTAAGACAAGCACTCTGTCACTTTGAGCCACAGTGCCACTTCTGATTTTCTGGTGAGTAATTAGAGATGAGTCTCATGAACTTTCCTGCCCGGGCTGGCTTTGAACTGCAGTCCTCAGATCTCAGCCTCCTGAGTAGCTAAGATTACAGGTGTGAGCCACTGGAGCCTACCCTATATTGTATAATTTCAAAAAGTAATTTTCCAACTCATATTTGGAAATAGGCATTGATTTCGTATTATCACATATAAAACTTTGTGTTTGGAAAGAAAGCGTTGTGTTTGGGTAAAATTAAAAGGTACGGATATTCCATGGTTTTTTCATCTGTCCTTATTCATTTCATGGAATTGCATTATTTTTGTTACTTGAAGATAAATAATTACAAATATGTGAAACAAGAAACATCATACTGTATGATAGTTGTAATGTATAAAGGGAAACAATTCCTTTCAACTTGGTTTGGGTTTAAAATATGTAATAATGGAATTTTTCTGGATAAATACATTTTGGCTGATTGAATAAATGAGAAAATATAATAGACCACCAAAATGATTTAGACTTTGTCTAGATTTTATCTTTTTTAGTTTCTAACCCTCAGTGATACATTTTTTTTAACATTTTTTGCCTTGTGAGAATATTTTATTAGTTCTATGTAACAGTTTTAGGAATCTGCCTTTATCATTAAGACACGTTAAATGGAACCACAATACAGAATTAATTTATCTTCAAGTTCTTAAAAAAAATCATTTAATGGAAAGGAGCCAGGTTAGTTTTGTATGCCTTTGTAAACGTATATAAATATATGGGCTAAGAAAGGACTATATCACACTAGAGTGAAAGATAACAACTATGGGCTTTAAATTATTTTTGCAGTGGTGTCCTGTATCATTTATTTATCGTTCTGGAAATAAGAATAAGTATCTTTAACAATGTGTTGCTTATCAAAAATACTAGTTTTACCCTTAATACCTTTTAATATTTCCTGGTGTTTTTGGATTTTTCTATCAGTTCTGGTACAGCCCATAACAGGGCATTTCATGATAGTATAATAGAAACCCCTACACAGAGGCACTGTAGATACCATGTCCAGTGGTAAATAAAATGTAGCTATAAACAGGGCTAGGAACATTTCTTCTCCTCT